AACCACCCCCCCCCAAAAAATTTTCCCCCCCCGCCCCTTTTCCCCCCCCCGGGGGGGGGGGTTTGGGGGGGGGGGGGGGTTAGTTTTAAGATGTTCACTACAAATGGGTTGTCTCGAATTGGGTGCAAAATGATTTGCAGAAGGAAAAGAAGCGTTTACAGTTTTAATCAAAGAATGCTATCAAACACGAAGGAATTGTCCCTTTGCTTGTGCGTTTAGTGCAAGAAGCACGGATGTTTTTCTACAGTAGTTTGATGTTTAGTAGAACTTTAACTAAAATGTGTCCTAAGTCCAACAGTAATCGGTTAGCAGGATAACATGCGGGTGATGGAATAAAAATTTACTTTTTTTTTCATTGATAAGCTATGGCTAAACCTATTTACAGTTGTAGTGGCTTCGGAACTGGTGAGTTTGGACATTAATGCGGTTCGTAAACCAATTGTGACCGATTCTGGTAATGTGGATAACGTTGTGAGTATAGGTATTTGTGATGAAAAACTAAGAGTAGTGAGATATATCAACGTTTTGCTTTCATTTGTCGATGAAGAAGCTATATCAGAATAATCAATGGCACTATTTGTGTCACTTGTAAATGTTATTAACCGGGATATGGAAGGAAACGACGGTGTTGCCATTGTACTAACAGTCAGTTTTGTGAGAGCATCTGGTGGTATCGTTAAACTTATGAGTTTGCTTGTTGTTGATAGTCTTGGACTACTACCACTAACATATGCCGTAGAACTTGTTAATACTAACGACCTTAGACTTTGTGAAACTGAAAACGGTCTTGGCGGGGTAGTAGTAGTGGAACTAATTGCAACAGAAGTTCTAACAGTGGTGTCTGATATAGTGGAATTCAGTCTCCAACTTGCGGAAAATAGTGTCCTATAGTGAATGATGGCTTTCGAAGAGCGATTACTCTTAGTTAAAGTGATCTTTTTCGTCGAACTCCATGACAAATTTGGTTTTGTGTTTTGTTTGATTGCAGTTTTCGGGGATGTAGTGGTTTTTTTGCGTTGTGTCTGAGTAGTTATTGATCGTTTAGTAATTATTGCCTCCTCAGTGGATACAGTCGCTGGTTTCATCGTTGAAGTTGGAAGCACTAGAACGTGAAATATTGTGAACGAGAATATAATTCAATAGAATATTCTCAACATATAGAAAAAATTGCTTCTAGAAGTTGCGCATCACAAAAACATTTTTTTCTCTAAAACTCTGATTAAATGTTAGCTTCCAGGATCTTGAATCATCCAAAATTAAAGTGCCTACCAGTCAATTTTACTTCTCTTCGTGAGGTTCCGTATTTATTTCTTAATTCAATTCTATATGTCGCTTCATCAGCTATTGTCACATTTTTTACTTTTAACAAATAGATGTTGCCTGTTCGATTCATTTCGTAATGTGTATTATCGTTTTTGTGAATGAGAAGATCATTGAGAAACCACTCAATCGTCGGTGTAGGATTACCTATACTTGTAATTTCAAGAATAGCATCTTTTCCAGCATTAACGGTCAAATTGTTTGACAATGTAATGACTTGCGGAGGAAACAGAACGTTTAATTTCGATTGACTCGATGCATTTCCTTCGCTATTTGACACGATCACTTTGTAGAAACCTTGATTTGTGTGATGCACTTTTGTTAGTTGCAGTATGTGATCGTTGTGAGGTAAGGCTATGTCATTGTAAAACCATTGTGATTGTACTTGAGGATTTCCAATCACTTCAATTTGGAATACCACACTTTCATTAATAGTGACATTTTGATCTTTAAGACCTTTAAGAATCATCGGAGGGTATAAGACGTTCACTTGTGCTTTACTTGATGTTGTGCCTTCGCTGTTATTCACAACTATCTCATATGTACCTTCGTGAAAAGTTTTGGTACGGTCTTTATAGTATTTTTAAAATAGAGCACCTACCGTCATCTGTCATGAACGCGTATGCTATTCTCAAAATATAGACATTATCATACTGCTCCATCTCCCAGTTTGACTTTTTGTCCGCTTTATTATCAAAATACCACTGGTATGTCAGGCCCGGATTACCGATGGCTTCGACACTTAAAGTCACATGTTGACCGATTTTAATTGTTTCATTAGTCAATGGTCTGATGATCTGTGGTGCAATCAAAAGTGTAAGTTTTGCCGTATGAGAGATATGTCCAATCTTATTTTCCAAATGGCATTCTACATAACCCGACTGATTGGCTTTGTAAATCGTTAATGAGGCCACTAGGCGTTGACTATCAAATGTGATATGAAAATTGCTATCGCTTGAACTTGTTTTTATTCCATTAAACAGCCATGTCACAGTTGGTGTCGGATAACCGATTATGCTTGCATCATATCGTGCTGCATGTCCATTCTTGATGTATTGATTCTCAGGCACCATCAGAAATGCGGGTTTCTCTAATACAGTTACATGGACTGCGTTTGACTTTATTTTCCGATAAATATTTTCTGCTAGAGCATAGTATTCATCCCCGTGATTTGCACGTGAGATAGGTTTCATTCGAAACACAGCGAGAATTTCGTTGTCTCGACCTGGAATCATTTCTGACTGAATTTTTTGATTATTTCGATAAAATGTCACAGTAGGTAGTGGTATACCATGAACCGTTACTTGATAGATAAGTTCATCTCCAACCGTGACTGTTTGGGGTTGAAGATTTTGTTGGATTGTAGGTGGTTCTAAAACCCAAACCTTAGTACTAAAGTATTAGGAACAAATACAGATTACTAGTAGTGGAACATTGTCTGATTTTCTTCTGTTCTACGTTTCGGATTTAAGCACAGTTTTATTAATTTCTGGTTTATCTGAAATATCCACAATAATATGCCTTTCCCGAATCAGTCCATGGGAACGAAAAACTGTTGAATGCACAAAAGTTTGTGACTGATTAAAAGAGCGATACCCTCATTCAGTCGGTTAATCAATTTATAGCCTCTAGTGGAGCCATATTCATAAGGTTTTTTAATATAAGGCTAAAAGAGGCTTCAGATACTCTAACTATTGACTTCCATTACCATGAACTTCTAATCGTATGTCATGACATATTTCTCCTTCACTATTTCGAAACTTAATTACATATAAACTTCCATCACTCTGGGTAACAGATTTTATTCTCAATTTATACATTTTATTATGATGCGATATTGTACATCGTTCATGTGAGCAATCAATCAATCTGCCTTGTAAATACCACTGTGCTTGGGGTGTTGGGTTTCCATCAACCATAAGCTCAAAATTCACATCTTGACCGACAAGAATTGTTTGATTCGGCATCCCCATATTCAAAAATCGTGGTGGATATAAAACATTTAAATAAGCCTTACTATCTATGATTCCCTCCGTGTTCCAAATTATAATTTTATAAGTTCCCTGGTCATTTATTTGCACTGGATTAACATTCAAACTGTACCGATCTGTTTCTTTGCCTTCGATAAATAACTCCAAAGGAACAAATCCTTCGAATAGTGAAAAAATGCCACTTATCATTTTTTTCAACTCAAAGTGCTAAATATAACTCTGATTTTCACTTTATTATTGATTTTTGCACTTCATTCGTATGCTGATCATCATGGACCCAGAGTTTCAGTTAAAAATAACAAAGATATAGGTACCTTCGTGCTGATGATGAGCTTCATAATGATCGATATCTAAATTTACTGGATTATTTTCAAAATACCTGAAAATGAAATTTGTAATTTTTCCCTGTTACATTTGCAAGATTTCAGTTACCATTGAGCGATGGGTTGTGGATTTCCTTGTGCTTCTAATAAAAATATTGCTTGATCCGTTTTATTCAGTGAGATAGTTTTATTCTGGAGTTCTCGTGTAATTTTTGGTTGAAAATGAACATTTAATTTCACTTGCTGAGTCACGTTTCCTTCACTATTGGATATTATTACCTTGTAGGTTCCATGATCACTAATTCTTGCTTGATAACGAAGTGCTAGACTGTAAACATTATCACTTCGGTTTATTATATAGCGATGTCCATCATTTGTAATCCGCTTATTTTCATAATACCTAAAATCAACAACGCTATTTAGAATATTACAAAGTGACTTAATCTGATGATACCCAAGCGTCAAAAAAAATCTAGTATCGCCTGATTCATCTAGATTACTAGATTTCTACTCGATTGCAACTACTGTGTAACGACAACGGAAATCTAGTAATTGGGGGATTACTAAATTTTTTCTAGTTGCAACTATCGATTTATCACCCGATAATCGATCGATTTAATTATTACTAGATGCACCTGCAGACGCATCTAGTTAAAAGTCCCTTTTCCAACTAGTAATCTAGATGGCAACTAGTCGTGTATCGCTCGATTATAGACGAATTGTATCTAGATTTTTCCCATAGGTGATATTTGCGGGTACAATGGAGATAAATACCACTCAAAAATGGTAGCTGTTGGATTTGCATCTATTTCTAACTCAAATTTTACTTCGGTGTTACGACCGAGTGAGATTGTTTGATTCATCATTTGCCTGATTATTAGTGGTACATATATCACTTCTAATTGAGAAGTATGCGATATATTTCCGACAACATTTGTTAAAACGCAGGTGATGACAACATTGAAATCGACTTTTTTTACCGTTAAGGATATAGTATATTGCGCACCATCAACCTGCATGATAAAATTTTGATCATAGTCGTTGATGTATACACCCATAGAGTACCATGCCACTACTGGGAAGGGATGGCCAATAATTTTTGATCTTAATATGGCTTGTTTTCCACGAGTAATCTGAATGTCAGTCATGCATGAAGTCTTCAGCATTCAATATGTTCAATATGTATTTACTTGGAGATGGTCTTTAGGTGGTGTAATAAATGCTGGTTTTTCTCTAATGATGATTCGAACAGGTTCCCCTTCGATCATGTAATTATGGTCGGACAGAACTGCGTGATATATTCCTTCATCGTTAATCGTCATATTTTTTCGTATAAAGCTAACTTCAGTTGTAAAATTGTTCACCGTGTTAACTTTATATAATTCTACATCATACACACGTTGATTGTTCTTGTACAAGTGAGCAACAGGTTCTGGCCAACCAGTAAATATGAGTCGGAATTTAGCAGCATCTCCAACATTTAA